TCAAATATCAGCAGAGATTTCATGCATATGGCAGGGAGGTACAGGACTGTCAGAAGGTAAAACCCTGAAAAGAATACGAAAAACGTGCGTGAGCAGTACAAAGGTCTGAGGTGGGTACAGCACCTACAGTATGATTATGACACATGCATTTATTGAATGCATGTATGAAAGCATTGTAGGTACATGCGGTACAGTAGACAGCTGTGCACTGGTCATTATATAAAAAGAAAGTGAAAAGGAGTACAAGTATTTTAGGGAAATATGTATGATGAATATTTCAAGTATACGACAGAATCGCTATTAAAAGTTACGGAAAAGAGAAGGTAATATTGTAAATAAACACTGAAATGAGGAAGGTATAGGGAAGTGGATTATGATTGTTGAATCATGTGAGCAGTAATTATACATAGGAAAAGAGTTTTCTTTACTTGTAAATATATGCAATAAATATACAATAGTGTGCATAGTGGAGTGATGTTGCTGGCATTACAAATATATTTAGAGGCCAAAAAAAAAAGGAAAAAAATAATTATGGTTTTCAATGAATGCACGAAAGAGGAATACTTTCCAGTAAATTTTGGCTTTAAATGGGAATTTGTAATATTGCCGTGGTTGTTTAGTGGATTTATAGATGGGGTTGTAAAATCATTGTTGAATGGGCATATAAACCGAGTTCTACAAACATGTTGGAAACATGAGCGGGTTGTAAACATAATGAACCGGACTGAAAAAAGAGAGACTGCATTTACTTAGTTGATGACAATGTTTTGGAAGATTCAGAAGTTGAAGAAGTTTGAAAGGATGTGTTAAAGAAGGAAGTTGCAAGTGAACACCAAAAAGATCAAGGTGATAATAGGTTGGACGTAAGAGTGGATGGAAGAAGTATGGAGTAAAGTCGAGTGTCGGAAGATGGATATCTGAAAGATGAAGTGAAAAGCAAAGGAGACAAAAGGAAAGATGTGTTAAGATTTTTGTAGAGACAACTCAATAGATTAAAAACATATAAAAGTGTAGTGGTAATAATACTAGTGAATTGGACCTGCCTCGCATGGGCCAGTAGGCCTGCTGCAGTGTTCCTTCTTTATGTTCTTATGAATATGAAGAATGGTCTCTGAAATGATGCAGCTATGTGGAGGCTGGAGGCGTTGGAGATGCCATGTCAAGAATCCATGTGGTTTCTTCATAATATGCAGAGAAAAAGGAGTGACGTAAATAGATGACAGATTGGCAGTAAGAAAGATTAAATCCAGGCACTGAAATATACTTTTAGATCGAGAGGGTTTATAAAGAGGATTAACTGAAGGAAATGCTGGCAGAGGGCGCTGAAAGAGGCTTTGATAGGAAGGGGCTAAGTTTTATATTTTCTTTGGAATGTTATTTCCTTTAGTAAATTGTAAACTACATTTTTTTACTTCGTGCTGAGATCAAAGAAACAAATTAACCACAGTTTGAAGATTTTTTTTTATAAAGGCTGTGAGGATACGACATTAATTACATTTCGAAGACTTTTTAAAGAAGGTTGTGAGGATACGACATTAATTACATTTCGAAGACTTTTTAAAGAAGGTTGTGAGGATACGACATTAATTACATTTCGAAGACTTTTTAAAGAAGGTTGTGAGGATACGACATTAATTACATTTCGAAGACTTTTTAAAGAAGGTTGTGAGGATACGACATTAATTACATTTCGAAGACTTTTTAAAGAAGGTTGTGAGGATACGACATTAATTACATTTCGAAGAACTTTTTAAAGAAGGTTGTGAGGATACGACATTAATTACATTTCGAAGACTTTTTAAAGAAGGTTGTGAGGATACGACATTAATTACATTTCGAAGACTTTTAAAGAAGGTTGTGAGGATACGACATTAATTACATTTCGAAGACTTTTTAAAGAAGGTTGTGAGGATACGACATTAATTACATTTCGAAGACTTTTTAAAGAAGGTTGTGAGGATACGACATTAATTACATTTCGAAGACTTTTTAAAGAAGGTTGTGAGGATACGACATTAATTACATTTCGAAGACTTTTTAAAGAAGGTTGTGAGGATACGACATTAATTACATTTCGAAGACTTTTTAAAGAAGGTTGTGAGGAACGACATTAATTACATTTCGAAGACTTTTTAAAGAAGGTTGTGAGGATACGACATTAATTACATTTCGAAGACTTTTTAAAGAAGGTTGTGAGGATACGACATTAATTACATTTCGAAGACTTTTTAAAGAAGGTTGTGAGGATACGACATTAATTACATTTCGAAGACTTTTTAAAGAAGGTTGTGAGGATACGACATTAATTACATTTCGAAGACTTTTTAAAGAAGGTTGTGAGGATACGACATTAATTACATTTCGAAGACTTTTTAAAGAAGGTTGTGAGGAACACATTAATTACATTTCGAGACTTTTTAAAGAAGGTTGTGAGGATAACGACATTAATTACATTTCGAAGACTTTTTAAAGAAGGTTGTGAGGATACGACATTAATTACATTTCGAAGACTTTTTAAAGAAGGTTGTGAGGATACGACATTAATTACATTTCGAAGACTTTTTAAAGAAGGTTGTGAGGATACGACATTAATTACATTTCAAATGACTTTTTAAAGAAGGTTGTGAGGATACGACATTAATTACATTTCGAAGACTTTTTAAAGAAGGTTGTGAGGATACAACATTAATTACAACTTGAAGACATTATTTACTAAGGTTGTGAAGATCCTAACAACTTTAGCGGTTATTTTGTTCATGACTCCACTGTTGGAAATTACCACCGGTATCTTCGGTGTCCTTCTTACGTTACTCAGAAGCGCGTATTCTTTGGACTGTCATGTCGATCCGTTAATAAAACATTAACAAACTAATATTCTTGCTGGGTCTGGATTTTTCTCCAAAAATTGGAGAAGAAACTTTAAAACCATATTCAGATATATTTCTTCCCTGTTATTTGTTCCCCGTTGAAAAGCAAATTTTTTTCTCTCTTCTTTAGCCCAAAGATAAGATTTTCTTCGGATTTTTAACCCCGGAGTGTCAGCCACCCAGGATAACCCAAGAAAGTCAGTGCGTCATCGAGGACTGTAACTTATTTCCATTGGGGTCCTCAATCTTGTCCCCCAGGATGCGACCCACACCAGTCGACTAACACCCAGGTACCTATTTGCTGCTAGGTGAACGTGACAACAGGTGTAAGGAAACACGTCGAAATGTTTCCACCCCGCCAGGAATCGAATCCAGGAAATCCGTGTGTGAAGCGAGAGCTTTAGCCACAAGGATTTCTAACTTTCTTTCCTCTTGTATCTTTGGAGTCGCTGATAAATCCCCGATGACAATTAGTTAAAGATAATATTTCTGCTGTTAATATAAATCAAACTATTCGTCTTGTTTATGCAATTTAAAACGTTTTATGCTTGCCAACTTCTCTATATATTTAATCTTTCAGCAGCTTCGCCTCACTACCTCTCTATACCACTTCCGTTTCTCCCTCCCTCTCCGTTTCTCCCTCCCTCTCCGTTTCTCCCTCCCTCTCCGTTTCTCCCTCCCTCTCCGTTTCTCCCTCCCTCTCCGTTTCTCCCTCCCTCTCCGTTTCTCCCTCCCTCTCCGTTCTCCCTCCCTCTCCGTTTTTTTCCTCCCTCTCCGTTTCTCCTCCCTCTCCGTTCTTTCTCCCTCCCTCTCCGTTTTCTCCCCTCCCTCCCCCCTTTCCGTTTTCTCCCTCCCTCTCCGTTTCTCCCTCCCTCTCCGTTTCTCCCTCCCTCTCCGTTTCTCCCTCCCTCTCCGTTTCTCCCTCCCTCTCCGTTTCTCCCTCCCTCTCCGTTTCTCCCTCCCTCTCCGTTTCTCCCTCCCTCTCCGTTTCTCCCTCCCTCTCCGTTTCTCCCTCCCTCTCCATTTCTCCCTCCCTTCCACCCCCCTCTCTCAACCCTTTTAACACACGTCTCCATCCGACTAGTGATTATGTAAAGCTATCTCACGTCTCAGTCTTGCTTCACCATCTATCACCTACTAATCCATCTTCGCTTCCTTCTCTCCTATATTCCTTCTTTTTCTCCCGGTCTCCCTAGCTTCCCTAGTGTCTCTTTATTTTCTCTCTCACCTCCCACACATTCCTCTCCTTACGTTTACAGCTGCAACTCCTGATTCTGACAGTGATTCAGTTACAGATTCATTTGGGACTGGTGACCCCTGATAGAATTAAATTCTTCTCCCCCCCACACCTTTTTCTTGATATTCTCCTCAGTTCCTCTTCCCTTAATATTTCCTCTTCTTTTAGCCTCCTACTTGTATTATATGCTTTTTCTCTCTCTCTATTCTCTTCTACCCTTCTTGTGACCTCTTCTTTACTGAAAAAAATTGTGATGAAAATGGCTTTGAAAACCGACATGCTGAAGAATTAAACACTTGTGTTACAGTTGGGAAGCTTTACTGAAGAAACGTTTCGCTAGCCAGTCTTCTTCAGTCCAATACGTAGAATAACTGATGCACAAGTGTCAGTTTTCAACTGAAGAATTTACAAACTAGAGCCCAGCACTAAGGACTGCAGCCCATAACAGTCAGGCAACACCCAGGTGAATATTTACTGATAGGTGAAAGGGCCAACAGGTTTCAGGAGACTTACCCACTGTCTCAACCCACCCGGAATTGAACCCGAGTCTTACAGGTGTTAGAAAGTGCTACCACTTAGTTATGAATGTAATAATTTACGATTTCCTTATTGCAATAGTTAAAGTGTATCTGCTCTGGCTGACATACTTTAACAATGTACATACGTAACGTATCCTGTTAGACGGAATACGACAGGGAAATAGGGCAGCAGCACACAAGTTGATAAATTAGACACATTTGCAACACACTGGCTTTATCATTCTTCTTTTTATATTGGACTGATAAAGCCACTGTGTGGCAAAACATTCCAACAATAAAGCTGCCAAAGTGTTGCACGTGTGTCTAATTTAACATACTGCTGATGCATCTTTTTTTTCTAATACAAAAAGTACCTACCTTCCTCATGATGCGAGTGATTCTCTCGCCATACTCCCATATGGACTGGTCACTGGCACTATCGCTGTAGTCACAGGATATCTTGCGTGGCTCTCCCAAGATGGGGGCGTCTCCAAATGCGTCCATCTTCTTGCGTCTTAGTCTGGCCAGAGCCTCTGACAAAACTCTCACCGCGTCATAGATCAACGCTGACTGTGCCTGAAGGACAGAGAAACATTATATTAGTGATATACTACAAAGGCACGTGTGATGCACTTAGGTATGTTTACTGAGGGACCGTCTCGTCTCTGCAGACGGCGTATACCTGTGTAATCCCCTCTTTTGAAGCTAGGCTTCTCCCTTCCTTCTCGTGCTGCTTCACTCTCCACTATTAACTCTACTATATATTCCAAACCCAGAACCACAAGATCACTAGACCGGTGGGCGATTCACGTGTGCTTCTTCAGTGGAATACAAAAGGTGGTTTTTATACTGGAGACAGTGGAAGAAATAGGAAATTTGAAGGTATTCAGTCCCTTGACCTTGATTGAAGGTGTCGAGTCCATAGTCAGGCCAAGAGAAAGAGGACGAGATTACAGTTCGAGACAAAAGGGAATCAATTAACGTGTTCTGCATACATGGAATCTTTCAAAACTGTGTAATTCGGTAGTATGTCTGCCTATTAGCAGACGAAGGAGGGAGACTTCACTACTTTTCAGAGACGAATGACCTCAAACATGTGTGTACTCACCTATATGTGGTTGTGGGGGTAGATTCGCAGCTCCTGGCCCCGCCTCTTCGCTGACGTGTGTGTGTATTTAGGGGGATGACCTTTATGTGCATAATTCAACATTTTGGAGACTACTGCATTTATCTTGAAACGTTCTAAACGATACCAAAAAAAACATCGATTTACATCATTTATGTGAGAAATTCCTCATGGTATTCCCTGAGAGAGACCCTGAATTATTCCTCAGGGATACCCAGAGTGTAACATTAAAGAATTTGTACAATATTATCTCTTTAAGTCACAGAAGGAAAAAAATCCTAACGGTTGTTCAATTAATCAATAATTGTTCTTAATAATACTACATTTGCTTTATAGGAAAGCGCTAAATCCGTAATGATCATACTGATACTAAATGAGCAATCAAATGTGATCCCTTTAAGAGCCACTCAGCGGCATCAAGTCTTAAGGGGTTTAATAATAATAATAAAATAAGTTATTATTATTATTATTAAGATTAAAATAATAAATATTCACTTAAATAATAAAGGACAGTTTATTGGTGAGATCACAGGACAGACTGTTGGATGTAATGTTGGACCGTTGGTAAGACCGTTGGAACCCATTGGAGAGACGGTTGGTCAGACCGGTGCATTGATGACACGCCGAACGAGTCTGTGGGATTTCTGAAAGCCAATGAAATATTTTCCTGTCTCAGCCGCAATCCTCGCCATCACCACCACCATACCCTGTACCTCTACCACCACCACAATCACCACCTCCATCACCATACACTGTACCACTACAACTTTCATCTTACCCTCCACAACTTGTACTACCACAACCACCACCACCTGTACCACCACTACCACCACCCACTTGTACCACCACCACCTGCACCACCACCACCTGCACCACCACCACCACCTGCACAACCACCACCTGCACCACCACCACCGTCAACTTTCCTGCTGGGTTTTCCTGTCCTTCCCTCCACCACCAGCCCTGACAGTGATTGAATGACTGATTCGTAAAAGATAACCTTTTGTCATCACAGCAACGAAGTTATTTATGCCTGAAAGAAATAAAGCCAAAAATATCTTACAAACACATGAGCAAAAACTACGATATATTTAGAAAACGTTTCGGTACTGAGACCTTGATCTTCTTTGAAGTGATCAAGGTAAGAAGATCAAATGGTTTTTAAATAAAGGTGTGCTGATGTTTGCTCATGGTAGCATTGCACTATCAACATTGCACTATCATCATTGCACTATCAACATTACACTATCAACACTACACTATCAACACTACACTATCAACGCTACACTCTCAATGATACACTCTCAATGATACACTCTCAATGATACACTCTCAATGATACACTCTCAATGATACACTCTCAACGTTACAATATCAATATACCAAAAACTAAAATTGAGTTAAGATGTATATAAATATAATCATCAAAAATATAGACATAATTGGGGTGATTTAAATCCATTGCGACTACGGTAAGGAAAAACAAGAGAAGAACTGCAGCATTTTTATTTCCCGAAGCTGTAAAACCATATGGGTCATTCAGCACAAGGAGTAATGGATGCTTGATCCACCGTTCACTAATTCTGGCAAGAATAGGATAATACGGACTCAGATGTACAGATCATTTTAACGAGGTAGAGGGGATTAGGAAGGAGAAAATGAGGAAGGATGGATAGAATGGGACGTGAAAAAAGGTGAAAGTGAGGAAAGGGAGAGGCTTAAGGCAAATAGGTGAGGAAGCTTTTTTGGGGATAATAGGAGATCAGGGGAGGAGTTAGGGAGAAGAGGCTGTGAGGGAGAGAATTATGGAGAGAGGTACATGAGGGAGGCGGCTGGAAAGAACTAGAGATGAGAGAAGGGATTTGGGAGAATGAGATTTGAGTGACGTGTTTAGAAAGAATGAGATGTGAGGAACGTAGTTCGGTAGAATGAGATGCGAAGGACGTAGTTCGATAGACTGAGATGTGAGGGATGTGTTTAGGGAGAATGAAAGCTGAGGACATTGCTGACAAATAGCCAACTATGAAAAACAAATTTGTAAAGCAAGGTAGCATATGGGTTGTAACTTCAGCTCGGTCACCTGCGTGGCCATAAGGGAATCAGCACCAACGAAAGTTATCCTTCTTAACGAGGATGACTGTAGGCAGAGCCACTTGGAACGTCCATCCTGCACGCACTCCCTTCTGCAGGGGTGTAAAACTACTTAAAGTAACGCAGAGAGAGAGAGAGAGAGAGAGAGAGAGAGAGAGAGAGAGAGAGAGAGAGAGAGAGAGAGAGAGAGAGAGAGAGAGAGAGAGAGAGAGAAATGAGAATGTTGGTCGTCCTTCTTGGTCTAGGCACACTATCGTCGGCGTCACTCTTGAGGTAATGTCTCCCTCCTGACGCTGATATCCTCTCTACCTAGCTCAGTCTTTCTCTCAGTCTTACTCTCTCTTTCTCGCTGTGTCTTACTTTCTCACGCTAGTAAGTTTATTTAGTTACAGGTACACAAATATAATTATCATACATAGTTTAACATGTGTGTAAATTACCTAGGGTAACCTCCCCCCCCCCCAAAAAAAAAAAAGTTAGTGACTTACTTCAATTGGGGTCTTACTCTCTCACGCTGCCTCTCTCTCTCTCTCTCTCTCTCTCTCTCTCTCTTTCGCTGTCTTACTATCAGACTTTCTTACTCTTAGACTGTCACTGTTGCGTGACGTCTGTCACACGGCTGCTCATGCTTGGGTATTCTTCGACATTTGTCATTATCCCTTGTTCTCTTTTAGTTCCTCTTTTATTCCTCACCTTTATTTCCTGCTGAAGGCTGAGGTTTTTCACCCTGCTCTTTGGTCTCTTCACATTTTAGCTTCAAGGTTTTGTAGGCATTTCAATATTTCAGGTTTAGCTTCTAGGGTATTTCCGAGAATCTACTCCAGGTATCGTGGGTATGAATTTTGTAGCCCACAATACCCTACCACCCCTACGATACTGAACCACTACCCCACTTCCACCCATCTTCTCCCCTTTACAACCACGATATACCATTCACAACCACATATCATAACCACTTTATAAGTACATGAATATGAGAATGGAGGAGCACTGCAAAAGCTAGGCAAGTCCTCCAATCCAACCTTTCTCACTCGTATATTAAAAACCAAAACAGTCACCTGATATTTTTTAAATGCACTGGTTGTCTCCCACACAGGCAGGGTGACTCGAAAAGAAAGAAATTCTTTCATAAACTTTTTTCATTTTTTTAAATGCTCCAGGCATTTCAGTCGCCTCTTACGGCACGCATGACTTACGGAGGAAGGATTTTTCTCCACTTCCCCCATGGAGGTCATCTGGTATTACCTTCACAATAACGAATTAACACAACGGAATCATGGCAATTTACATACTCTCGAGTAAAGAGACAATATACACACCATCTCCTGCATTAAACTCTCTCTCCCTGCCCTCCACATCTTCCTGGTGGAGCCGTGGTGGGAAGGTGGTGGGCAGCGTTCATGTGTGAACTTGATAACGGGAACTCTTTTAATAAAATGGATTACCTACTCCATCAGTGCCGCGGGCTTTGTGCCCGAGCTCGGTAAGCACCAACAAATGAGAGTACGAAGGCTTAATGACTCTTACATAAAGCTGTGGGAAGTTATTTTCCAGAAAAAAAATGACGCTCGCCAAATACCACCATCACCACCTGTGCCACTTTGTGATAATCTCAGCGAGGCGCAAAAATAATTCATCAAAATGCTAATTTATGTCCTTGAAAACAAAGCAGTTTGCTCCTTATTTTATATTCATTATCGTAATATATGTTTTAACCTCCATCTCACCTAAAAAGTGCTAAAATAAAACAAGAAAATAAATCTCAGTGGTTAACAACCGTGAAGATAATTTTTAAACTCGGCGTGAAGGAACAATAAAGATGTAAACAAGACAGTGAAATGACTTGTTATCATCTTCTTTACGTCCACTACTATTGCGGTCTGTTTTTTTCACCCTCTTCCTCGCTATTCTCTCGTGTATGATTATCATTATGACTAAGCATGGGCAGGTGGGCACGAATTCCATCCTTATCCTGCCCGGTGGTAAAGGCGTGAATGCCACTGCTCTTGAGGGAGGGAACCTGTGCCCTGCAAAATCCCAGGCGTGAGTGTTTTCCCTTATCGAGCCGTCACTCAGGCGAGCTCTGTCAATATTGGTCCAGATTAATGTTGGAATTACCTCCACGTGCAAACTGGAGTTGTGTTGACTTTCCCTGCCTTGTATCTCCTGACGCGGCTGACGGTGTTGCTGACGATGCTGTTGCTGACGACATGATTACTGGGAGTTTTATCGACTCTCCCTGCTGACTATGATGCTGACAATGAGCATGCTTATCTCTTCTGTTTTGATTGTCAAAATTTGTCTAGATACACAGTAAAATACACTACGTGAAGAACAAACCTTTATTTACAGATCCAGC